GTGAATTGGTGTTGATATAGATCTGTCTAGTGTTCCTCTCAGTCCAAATGTTATGCCACTCAGATGCTGCTGCACAATTCCATTCAGATCTTATTATTACTGCCACGTATGCAGATGATGAGAAGATCCCGAGCGGCTCGGATGCAAATAAATAATCCAAGGCACAGTGCATTGGACACAATGCTAACACACATTCCGGAGTGTATTTAAACAGTCGCCAAAAGTCCGAGGAAATGGGCAGAAAATTCATTCATTTTCCACTTTTGCTAATGGATTCATTTCGTCTCTGAGAGTTTGTGTACTTCTTGGTGATTTCCGCCCAATACAGCGCCACCCACCGCCCATTTCCACACAGCCTTGACGAAGAGACACAATATTTTAATCTGATAAGTTGTGTATCTCTGGCGAAATTCAACAAACTCAAATTGAATATTCCTCTCTCTCTCTCTCACCGCTTCTGTTTGTACATCTTAATTTTCCTTCCGTTGGGAAGTCCCGAGTGCCGGGGTGTTTTCACCCCCCCACCCCCTGATTTACATACACCCTGTAAATCTACATTTCATCACTCAACGGATCTCTGTCCTCTCACCGTATCGACCACGCTCGTCACTAGTTTAGGTAAGAATATCATTAGAGGGAAGTTTGTGTCTTCTTATCCACCGGAAAAGAGCTCTCGAATTCATGAGTGTAATTGTACATATATAGAATGCATTCCACCCCTATTGTAGCCCCAGGTTGAATAATTTATATTCCTTCTCTTTATATGGTTTAACCAAAAAGCTCTGCTGTACTGGCGAACTTTTGCGGAATACAATTGAAAAACTTTAACAATTGGCAAGTTTTTCAAGAACTTCTCTAATCCTCGAAGCGCTGTCCATTGAAATTGAGTAGTCCAAGTGAGGATTTTAGGAATTCCTCATGCTCTCCATCGTGGCTCACTTGCAACATTGCAGGTGAAAACTTTATTTCTCAAACATACCCACAATATTGACTTGCACACTGAAAATACTTCGGGAAACTCCCAAGTTTCAAGACAATCTCTCAGTGATCTCCAAATAGATTCCTAGACAGGGAAGAATATCGATTGAGGCAGGAGGAATAAATTTTAATCACAGCTCAGGATGACATAGGTTGACGCCTGTAACAGGATTAATCAATTGAAGTGTATTGAAAATGCTGAAAGCGATATATTGGGAAAATGAGGTCAAAAATTAATTGCAATTGAAAATCTGTACTGAGAACGAATCTGTGCTATTTTTTTTAATCCCTTTCATGGAGGGAATGTTAATATGTAGTGCTTGATTTTCCCATTAATGACTATGGAAATGGAATAATCAAGGGGGAGATAATAGTCTTCTAAACGTATTTGAAGGCATTTTTGCAATGTAATCCAGGTTTTTCCATCTCAAGAAGTTTAAGCTCTTCAAATGCTTAGATTTTGGATTATAAAAATTGATTCTAATGTTCCTTGATTCGTTTAAAACAAATTTGTGTCTTGATTTTTTTAGTTTTTTGTTCGGAAAATGCTCTAAAAAAATTCTGAAAAATTGTGAGGTTATGAATCCGGCTCTAAAAATCCTTTTTACACCAGAAAATTAGTGAATTTGGCAAATAACACAACGTTTCTACAAGAAAATGACGTTAAATTTGCCACTTTTAAGCAAAAACCGCGGAAAAAACCAGGAAAAGAAAACAATTGTCTAGACTAAAATGACATTTTTGAGGTTATGATTGACTTTTAAGCTTTTTTACATAAATTTTCATAATTTTGAGGATTCTTTAATCACCAAAATCTGTCTTAAATCAATCACATAGCTTAGAAAAAGCAATATAATTGATTTTTCTAGACAGAATTATTTAGAAAATGCCTCAATATGTTGAGATAGAAGCCTTCTGTGAAGTTGTACACCACTTCGGAACATAATATCTGCCCCTTGGGAGTAATAAAAAATTTCAATTCAATACCTATTCATCATTTTCCAATTATCAGTCAATTTGCTTGCTTAACGAGAAATGCAAAACGATTTTGTTATGGGCAAATTGAGTGTTTCAGTGTTTAAATGACATTTTTACACATTTACTATGTACAATTGGTGTACAGTTTTTAGCACACAGAGAAGGAATAATAATTGTTTGATTGGAAAGGAACAAATTTCCTCTATCTTCCCGACTCAATTCGGGATCTTTTTCCCAAAAACGGTGATCAATTTTCTCACACTATCCATTTACATTTGGGAGGGGGGAAAACATGAGTTGAATTTGCAGGAAAAAAAGTAAATAAATTCCTCCCTGGGCTGCGGCAAACAATGGCGAGGGGGTTTGTAGTGAATTTTTGCTTGTCTCACTTTCTTCATGTCCCTTTCATGTTGAGGAGACGTGAAAAGTTTTGCCAAACACAATGATATGGGACACACAACTCCATCCGCCACCCATTGTCGTCCACCTTCTTCTTCACCCCCGCCTGGAAAAGTCCATATATAGTGTGCGGAGACCCACATTTTCTTCCTCATGTTATGCAAAACTTTCTTCCAGAAACTCTTGCGAAAATTTTCTATGCGTCTATGTGTGGTTTTCCACTGCGAAGACCGTCAGTTTTTGGGGGGGGAAAAGCGGTGGGGAGGAGGAATCGGAGGGTGAAAAGGTCACATCACCGTACAATCACATTTGATGGGTGAGGGTTTGGGAAGTTGAGGGTTGAAGCACACACATAAGTTTGTATAACCCAAATACACGCACGAAAACTTTATTATTTTAGCTATTATCACATTATATTCGTACAGTGTTGAGTTTGGACGCAGAAAAGGGTGTCATTAGAAACCCTCCATGCCGCCACACCACAGCCAGCCAGCCCCAAATTCCCCCGGAAGAGCCACCCCCCCACCGAAAGGGTGGCGGCGTGCTGGAAAGCAAACTCGCTGGGAAGTTTTGTATTGACACAGGAAAAATGAGTTTCAATGCAAAGGTCAATATTTAATCGAAATTCAAGCCCGCAGTCTGTCAATTTTCAACCCCCATTTTTAATACATCTCATATTTGCACACGACAATACACTGCGACACAATATTTATATATACACATATTTTTACGCGACACCCACTCAATATTTCGAGGCTAATTGAAGAGCGCGAGCGCCATGAAAATAATTGTCGAGCAGAAAATATAGTAAATAGTGGGAAAAAAAATCTCGCCTGGATGAATTAAAATTGACTGTATATATGAAGGGATATTTTTGCATTGTTTGAAATGAGAAAAAGGGTTTTTGTGGAAACAATCAAATAAACCCTTCAATGGGCGTATTTGAAAGCTTTTTCTCGTTGTATTTAAAAATATCTGTATCGAATAAATTGCTCTAAATTGATTTTTTTTAAATCTAATTTGCAATTTTATTCCAATAAAAATTGCATTTGAGAGCCAATAAATGTTTCATAGTTGTTTTGAAAAGCCCTTAAAAGCTTTCGATTTGACACAAACATGAATCGTGAATTTGTGTAGTAAATTTACTAGGAAACACTTTTCTGCCATTTTTTTTTGTAAAAATTCATGTAAAAATAGCCAATGAGTCGAGATATTGGCCTGTTTGGCGGGTGCGCGTAGCATAAAAAAGCGAAACTTGTTGAGGGAAAACCCTGTTTTACAGACAAATGGAGAAGAAATATCGTTTTGGCATATATGGGGGAAATATAGCCCCAGAAGTGCTCTACACATAGGAAAAATAATCGGGTATAAAATTCTTTTCGTTTCGGAGATATTTAGTAAAATGTGTGTCAAAAAATTGATGAATTTACCAAATTGCGCTCAAAGGATCGTTTCTGACCAACAAGGAGGGAACTAAAATTCCTGTAATGTATTACAAAGTAGTAGATAGTTTCAAAAGCTACCATTTGAGCCTAATTTGAGGAAAATCCGTGGAAAATTGGGCGAGATATGTGCGGCAAAGGAATCTGAAAAACCACATTTCAAAAGTGTGATTTTAGTTCGCTAGTGTTTATACTTCAAAAGGAACCCCGCTGAATGTGCACTAATGGGAGAGCTTTAGCCAGTGAAATCCACTGGAAAAGTCCCCTGTAACCATTATCACTATAACACACAGGTCTTTTCCGTGGAACACCATCGGGACATCTAATGATGATCATTATGCGACGCCCGTGTTTGCGCGAAAAGGCTGCAAGTGCATGAAAAAGAGTGTTGCATTCGCGAACAAACATATCAAATAATTCCACAATCGATAATATATAAACATCAGTATGAATTACAAGTTCGGCGCCGTGACTGAGTAAAATATCACACTGCGTTTGGGGAGAAAAAAATCAAACGCGTGACATAATATGAGTATCGCTTGGGGTGTGCATCTCGCCAATTGAGAATCGCGGATTGTATTTGCGAAATAATTCCGATGGAAGAGTTGCACCCCGAATGAAATAAAATACTGGTGCTGAGGCAGAGGGAAAAAAAAGGGCACTGAAGGGGTGGCGCGACACCTCACGAGCTTCGGCCGGCCGAAAAAGCGCCCATTGCGCGCGAGGACATTGAGGAAAAACTGTGGCGCGGGCTTTGGACTATTGTGTGCGGAAATGGGCATGATAAAAAGCAGTGTAAATATTCGATGAAATGGCTGATGTGATTGTGACAAACAGAAATTTTGGCGTGCAAAAAACACCGTGGGTTTATTCGCAACCATTAAGCGATGTGGCGTTGGTGATGGTGTAAAAACGGCGCCATTGTCGGGAGAATAGCGCAAGAAGAAGAGCCCCCAAGTTGTCACGGGAATATTGTGTTTCTTGCTCACTTGGCAAAATCACGGGAATTTTTTTTTCCACCCCATCCGTGGTTGGCTTTTCGGGTGGGGAAAAGAGTGTCGCAGAGAGCTTCTGAGTTATCTGTGACGACAAACTCTAATTTTGTGGAACAAGAAAGAGTGAGCACGAGAGGGAAAAACCGCAGGAAAATACCCATTCGCCACCCTCCGCAGCTTTGTGACATAAAGAACCGTAGCATCAGAATCCGATTGTGGAGAAATTTCCGGGACAAAGTGAGTGATTAGTGCGAAAACTTGGGAAAACACACACACACACTTTGACCAAATGTGTGCTGAAGAAGTGATCCTCATCGGAGGACTGTTCAGAAATAATAGTCATTAAAATAATGCCAAGTGCTTCAGCATCGTGATGAGAAGTATCGAAAGGATGGGGACATCGGTGTGGATGTGCTTGCTTTTGATTTTCCACCTGCGACGATCTGTTGCTGCACACGGATACGGCGAAGGATATCGACCAGGTGAGCGCCTTTTCCCACCCCCCTGAAGTTCACCCTCGCTCGAGCAATCCACCTGCAATTGGATTAACTCGGCAGCAGTAAATAATCACGGCACGACGGTGTAAAAACCGACTACAGTCAATTTTTGATTAAATACACCCTCAAACCATCGCCGCATTCCAATTAGATGATCTTTCTGTGTGCATCCATCTGTCTTTTTTTCCACCCCCAACATTTCCTGCACCTGTAATCCCGTACGATTTAATTCAATCAAGCAATATTGACGTGAAATCTAGGTGTTATTTTCCTGTTTTTCAATACAACCTCAAATTATCAACGGCACACAATTCACCTGTGATTCACTTTAGTGCGTTCGCTGACGCAGAATTCAATTTTCAAATGAATCTTGGGAGATTGTGTGACCAAGAAAAGTGTTCAATTTACCATGCATGAATAGAGAAATGATATGAAAAACGTTCCAATTTCATATATTACATATTGAATGACAGTCACGAAATTGTAGACACATTTAATTGATCATTACTATTTCACAGGAAAGCTTTCCTACCATTTTTGTGGTAATATGTGGACAAAATATTTTTTTATGTATCTTTTTTGTAGGTTAATGAGCCAGGCTATTAAAGTTAGAAACTATTTTCAACAATAATGGCAAATTTTTCAAATTTGGAACGATTCTCAGTCACACAAGAAATGTAAAAAATGTGTTATATTAGTTTAACACACAACTTTGCTATTTGCTTAAAATGGTGATTCTGTGCTATTCTGAGTCAAGATGTGTTAAACCATATTGTATCGCCTGAATGTGTAATTTTAACACAACTTCAGATCTGAATCTGCAAATATCTTGGAAAAATGCATCAATCTGCAATTGTGGCTCTAATTTTCAAGCATGAAAATGAATTATGTATTCAGTAAATGCTTTTTATCACGGATTTACTAGTTATGAACTTTAATATTAAAAATTTTGGCAAATTTCTCCATTTTTCCAATTTTTTCTTTACAATATCAATCTAATTTCCTATCATATATTGTAAAATACATATTTACAGTATTAAAGAGAATATTTTCCATGTTTTTATGGCAATTGTCCACTATATCGTTAAGGAAAGTCAAAGGAAACTTTATATGTGCCTTCCTTAAGAGCTCCATATGGGAAAAATTACAATTAATTGTTCTCAGTGTTGAAACTCAACTGGCAAAATCCATTTGCGGAAGGCACGGAGTAATTTTTCATGCGATTCTGCGTGAATTGCAAAGCCCGTGTTAATTCATTTGCAAGCAATTTATTTAGCTATCATATCTCCATTTGCCGCCGCAGATGGGATTTCCCAGTAGCTTCCTAATCACACAGTTGGTCTATCTTGTCACGGTTTGTCTGTTTAGTGCAAACAAGCTGTGCCATTGCGTCCATCGGACTCCTCTGGCCGCAAATTGGACTGTGCACAGACATTATCCTGGCCGCCTTTGTGCGACGGAATATGTGGCGAGACGTAGTGGGACTCCTCAATTGACAAATCAAAAAGCGTTGGGGGGTGGAATGGGACGGAGGGGTGACAGGTTCCAATCCACTAAATGTCCGTGCAACACTCCATGTTAATAACGTGACACACAGAAGAGAGTCTTCCGAACTTCATTCAATATTACAAATTCCCATAAATGGGCTGGAACGGCTGCCAGAACACACGCCCGGGGACAATTTCTCTGTTAATAAAACATGATATATTGGGGAGCATTTATTGGGGAGAAATTGGTTGCTTTCAACATCAAGAATATGCCAACATTAATTGTGTTATGAAAGCCCGGCAGAGCTGAACTGCGGATTTTGTCTCAAGGATATGCGCTCTGAGTGATTTACAAATTCCTAGGAATGACGCTATCAGGCATCTCTTGTGTATTATTTTAACATTACATCGACGATGGCCTCATTCAATATTAATAGGGTGAAATGATTGGTTTTGGGCAAATCACCATGGTGTGCTTCGAGCTTTTTCAAGGACTCATTTCCCCTCCCCAGCGCCAGAGAAGGAGGATGAGAGGAGGAAGTCTTCCTCCGGAGAACATCTTCACTTTCTCTCATTACAATGCCGTGTTTGTACATAGTTTGCAGCGCCTCAAGATGCAGAGGCATTGAAATTCTGTGCCCCTTTAAGAGCTCAAGGATAATACTGCCTTCGAGGCTTGCAACTTAAAAGCACAATTTATAATTCACATCGTGTATCCGGGCGGAGAATCTTTGAATATATTTATGAGCTAGTTTATAGGGAAGACGACCGCCTCGTCCAATCCCCACTTTATGTTGCATTTTGCACACTTGTCGCCCATCACGATATTTCATATGCAGCCAAAAGTAATAAATGGAAATAACTCATGGCCATGAATTTCAATATTGGACCAATCCACGTGCTCGTGGTGTGAACATGTGTAATTCTCCGTGGGAAATGGCGCTCGTAAGTGCATTAAAACAGTCAATGAATGGCATTTAATAGTGATGCCCAGGGTCTAAGTCCCTTTACTGCCCCAAACAGAGTATGAGCTCGTGCTTATGTGGGTGCTCAGTCTCTCATAAAAAATGAAGAGCGAATTTATTACTCACTTCTGCACGCGTCCTATTCAAGACCATCGCGCCACGCAAGCCAGATCTGCAGGCTAGCTTTGCATGCAATGGAATCAGCGTGAAGAACTCACTGCGGAGCTAAGAAGGAAGCTTCTAGCCGGTTTTTGAGGAATCTTAGAGGTGTCTTGATCATGAATATTAAGATTACTTTGTTCCTGGCCAGGAGAACAAGTCATTTGAGTATGAAAATGAAGATTTTAGGATCAATCAAGCCTTTAGGAAATTTAATCGGATCTTCTACATGCCTTTAAACTGCTGCCCTCTAGCGGAAATATGCGGAGAAAATAATCTAAATTGAATAATGACTTCGTTGCAACTTTACAGTCATAACATTTGAAATAAGCTGTTAAAAATATGAATTCATAAAAAGGTGTTGCAAGATTACGATTCATATTATTTACTAATGCGGGGAATTTATTAAAGAAGAGTCAGAAAATTCACGTGAAAACCAAGGAAATAGACAATAATGATGTTTTTATGTGAATAAACACATATTTATTGGATTTTTGTGGTCATTTGTACACATTTCAATGCACCAGATTGAGGTTATGTGTTTCCGAACATCCTTCGACCCTTTCTAAGGAAACTGATTGGTTTCCTAACTCATATTGAAATACATAAAAGCTATGTTTTTATCCAGGAACGGTCAAAGATGAAGATGTCTTATAACTGAGAATAATCCCCACTGCATCTTGCAACTTGTCTCGTTATATAAGATATGAAAACGTTAAGTTGCAATGACCCAAATATTATAATTTTGATCAAATATTCACGAAAAATTCACACAATAACCTTTTATTAAAGGTTTGCTGTTAATGCTTTGAAATTGTGAATGATTTTCCCCTTGTGCGAAGTTTATTTACATGGTTTGCAAGGGAGCGTGTGTGAATGTTAACTATAAACTTAATAATCATAAAGTAATTTAAGTGAATTTTGAAATAATTTCACACAAATTTCAACAATGACAGAGTTCATTCGAGTAGAAAGTGTGTGGATTTTCCCTGGAGTCTAATATTCTTCTCCATATACAATATCTGTACATCTTCTGGGGCAATTTCTTAATAGATCCACACACTATGTGTACGTCTGTAGCTTTGCCACTTTTCCCAGTAAATAATACATTAAATCTATGGTGAGTGGTTTTGCAAAGTGGCGAATGCCTGGCAATGTTTGGGGGATGAAGAGAGAGAGAGAGGGTGGAAAGAAGGCGGAGTGATTCCACCATCAATATGCAATTTGTTTACTGGCATTGTGAGACCTCTTCTATTTGGATAGTGTCTTGTGTACTTTCGTGCAAATTCCACGGATTCCACACGCGATTGCTTCAAGGGACAATCATCTCACGTTCCTTCGCCCCAACATCGCGCACTAGACAGGTCATATAGTGGAGTCGAAGTGAACTCCCCACTGACATACATGACTTTCCCTTCCCGCCATGTCATAAAAGTCATAAAAATATATTTCGCCCGCCTCGCCAGAGAGTGTATATATCTATCGGGAAAATGTAAGGCAGGAGGAATGTGGCTGGGCCAGAGAGAGAGTGAGTGACACTGTTTCAGACGTGCTCATATCTCGCCGCCCATTTAAAAGCTTGCAGCATGCCACATAAAACAAAATAATGTAGAGGAAAAGCCACCCGCTCTCCACCCCACATATATACATTACACACACACCACAGCAGAGCGCGCCAAAGCGCCATGAAAAAGTTGAAGGAAATTGTAACTTTAGTCATCCCGTGGCATATCAAATTCTAGCCCATTCTTCTCCATCTCTAAGCATTCTGAGGGGGGGGATGCCGAGGGGGGCGGCATTTCACATTCTACCCTTATAGCACACTATACAGTTGGGTGTTTAGATTGAATCAAGAATTTAAGCCCGGAGGACACAAAATATGTCGCATAACCTTAAATCGTAGACGCTCCATTAAATTGTTTCAATGATTCGTATTTATAGAAATAAAAATGCACAGACGACTCAAATACACACCAAATTGGCCTCAAGAGAGTTCCCCAAGAGACGGCACAATATATATAAATATATCTATTATGCTTATGTAATAAAATTCACGCAATAGACACACAGAGTGATTCTCAGAAAATGTCGCGTTCATAAAGTATAAAAATCATGTGAATTATTGCCCAATTTTCCGAATCACCGTCTCACAAAAGCACACCACCCGAGTCAGGGTGAAAATTCCCCAACATGTTGAGCTGTTTTCACTAAAGTTTAATCAATATCTGGGAGGGAAATTTAATACATTTGCAGATACATATCAAGAGTTAATTCTGTACTAAAGATTCCTGATAAATCCATGCGTGCTGTTCACTTATCAACATTAAGTGGCTGGATACTTTATGCCAATCCTGAGGCTTTCATGCCAACAAAA